TATAGATGTGGGTCCTGTGGTGTGAAAAGCAGAGAAGGAAATCGGTATTTTATGGATGTAGATGTTGGAGTCCTTGCCCAGCTGGCGTGGTGCAGAGAAAGGGACCTCAGGGTTAGACACATCCTTTGCTGCAAGCCAGCCGTGTGACCCTGAGAAACTTGCTTGCTCACACTCGGCTCTGGTTGCCCTTGTAAGGAGTCTAAGGATGCTATGAGCATGAGAGGTTACATACAGAATGAACCTAATACTATTTAGTAGGTGACTAATAGTCATTGCAATTTTTATGTGGGACAAGTAGGGGATTTCCACAATATTTATAAATACCTTGTAAAGTATGTGTGAGAATAAAGTAGGAGTGATGTTCACTTCTACAAAATTTAAAGATAAATTTTAAAGTTCATCTGTATTATTCTATGGCAGTGGTTCTCAACCAAAGGTGATCCTGCCCCTAGGGGATAGAGGGCAAGATCTGAACACATTATTGGTTGTCACAATGGAAGACGTGTTACTCCTACCCAGTAGTTAGAGTTCAGGGTGCTGCTGAACATCACAGGACGTCACCACCACCACCACTGAGAGATACCTGAGTACAGTGCCCATCGCTGTGCTGAGTTGGGCAGCCCTGCTCTAGAGAGGACTGCTGTCACTCTAGGGCTAATAAGGATGCATGTGGCATCCCATCTTTCCAGATGCTTGTCTTCGGCTCTTTTCTCTATCCTTCCCTCCCTTTCCTCTTTTCCCTCATCCTCCCTCCTGCCCCCCAATTTTTAAAAAAGATTTTATTTATTTATTCATGAGAGACACAGAGAAAGAGAGGCAGAGACATAGGCAGAGGGAGAAGGAGGCTCCATGCAGGAAGCCCAATGTGGGACTCTATCCCAGGACCTCAGGATCATGCCCTGAGTCAAAGGCAGACACCCAACCACTGAGCTACCCAGGCATCACCTGCCCCTCAATTTTATTCCCCATCCAATCCACAGCAAGTCCTGTAGATTCTACCTCAGACTGTATACAACTTTGAACATTCCTCTGTTATCACCCTAATCCCAACCAGTCTTGTCTCTCCCTGAGGTCTCTGCATCTGCCATGGCCACCTCAACACAGCAGGCAGGTGACCCTGTGTAGGACAGATCCTGTCGCTCCTCTGCTCAGAATCCTCTGGTATCCTTTTATCTCATTCAGAGTATAAGCCACAGCCCTTAAGATGACCTCTAGGCTCTGCTGCACCTAAGCTCCCCCTCACAGACCTAATGTCTAACTCACCTTCTCTGTGCTGCTCTAGCCTCTCTGACCTCCTACGGTCCACCAGGTGGGCTTCTGCATCAGGGCCTTTGCTCTCACTCCCCTCTATGTGAACCCTTCTTCCTACAGATAAATGCACGTTCAACCCCTTACCTCTTAAGGCTTACGAAAACTTAATCTTGAAGATATCCTGTATAAGATGGAACCCCCTACATCCACCATCAGGCCTCATTCTCTATGTTCCATCCTTGTTTTATTTTTCTCCATCTAATATTTAATCATTGTCCAATGATTACACTATATATTTTGCTTATTTATTTTGTTGGCTGTCTTTCTCATTGCTCTACTCCTAGGTCGGGGCTTCGTGCTTACTACTGCAATTCCTACCCACTGAATGGATGTATGATAGAGGCAGGGCCAGGTTTAGTCATTTTGCTTTCCATTGTTTTTTAAAAAGGAGGAAAGCACTTTAAGAGATAAAACTGTTCCTCAACGATGTGATGGGGGAAGCAAAAGTGGAAGGAAATGTAGATAAAATTAAATGTCCATATAACCTGCAGTCCATTGACAAGTACTTGAGGCAGGGAGAGTATAAGACTCCTCCAGGGAGCTCCCAACTGTCTTCATGTGAATGCCTTGCAAGAGGGGAAAACCATCTTAGCTTGACAACAGCAGGGCCTCCTATATCCTGTGAGTCTTCTTTAGCGTATGAAAGTCCTTTTGGAACTTCCCTTATCTTTACTTCTCCAAACCCCAAAGTATATAAAAGTCCCCCCTCACAATCTCAGAGCAGCAGCAGGTCTTCTTGCCCATGAAACCTGTCCCTGTGCTTTGGTAAAACCACCATCTTGCACCAAAGACACATCAAGAATTCTTTCTTGGCTGTTGGCCCCAGACCTCACCACCAGCAGCACCCCTCCAAGAACTACATCAAAGGTACCTAGAAACACTCCCAAGTTACTCTGCAAAATCCAATGAAAGCAACCACATTTTCTTATTTCTTGGATTTTCACTGTAGACAGGCCCAGAGTTGCTTAGTTGACATCTCTTTTTAAAGGAAACTACATATTTTTCTTGGCCTTGGGAATGTTTCATCTAGCAATGGGAAAAAGGATCAGCCTGTTAGGCCTGTGGTTTAAATCCAGGCAGAGTAAACATCATCCTTGGCAGGTGAGGAGCCCCTTACACAGACACACCCAACATCTGCCTCCTTCCTCCATATGGCCTCCCAAATAGGAATAGGCAGTCTCAAGGCATTTTTTAGGAGTAGTTGAAATTTGATATGGAGACTTTTTCTTGGTTGAATTTTGTCTTTTGAAGTGCTGGACAATTTAAATTCTTTCATAAACTCACTGAGTGAATGCTATGTGCCAGGCACTGGATGAGGTGCTGGGACAGTCCCTCCCCTGCAAACCTGCTCTGAGAGCCACAGTTTTTCCAGGGAAAACAACATTCGGTTAACTAAATGTCTTCAAATACACATTAATTGAGCACAGACCATGTCCCAGTTGGAGGGCGACACCAGACAACAAAACCCGAGGACCCTCATGGGCTTATAGCCCCATGTTTAGTGAATGATGAAGAGCTTCTTTAGAGCTGACTTTGAAGGCCTGCGGAGCTGGGTGGGAAACAAAACTCCTTTAAAACATGCTCCCTGTCCCTAGGGAATTTTAAAATTACTATTGGAGTTAAGAATGAAATGAGGGGATCCCTGGGTGGCGCAGCGGTTTAGCGCCTGCCTTTGGCCCAGGGCGCGATCCTGGAGACCCGGGATCGAGTCCCACGTCAGGCTCCCGGTGCATGGAGCCTGCTTCTCCCTCTGCCTGTGTCTCTGCCTCTCTCTCTCTTTCTTTCTCTGTGTGTATGTGTGTGTGTCCCTGATGAATAAATAAATAAAATCTTTTTTTAAAAAAATAAATAAAATATTTAAAGGGCAGCCCAGGTGGCTCAGCGGTTTAGTGCCGCCTTTAGCCCAGGGTTTGATCCTGGAGACCCAGGATCGAGTCCCACGTCGGGCTCCCTGCTTGAGCCTGCTTCTCCCTCTGCCTGCGTCTCACCTCTTTCTCTGTCTCTGTGTCTCTCATGAATAAATAAATAAAATCTTAAAAAAAAAAAAAAACAATGTTGTTTTTCTTTCAAGCAAGGCATTCACATGGACAGTGGGAGATCCTGGAGGAAGGTTCTACTCTGCCTGCCTCAAGTTTGTCAATGGGCTGCAGGTTATAAGGAAGTTTAATTTTATCTATACTTCCTTCTGCCTTTATTCTGCAGGCCTCTTACAGAGCTCACATTCTGGAGAGGGAGGCTGCAGTTAGATGGGTGAATAAGCAATACGATTTTAGATAGAGATAAGTAAACAGAGCAGGATAGGGCCGCAGAGGGGAACGGGTAGCAGAACTCTCCTAAAAGCTGTGGGCAGCGAGTGGGGGCACATGAAGTGCAGAGTTTAGACTTGTGGAGTGGGGAGCATGCAGGTACCTGGACAGTGAAAGCTGGAATTAGGAAAGGTGGGTCTGGCGGTGACCTCCCCATCCTGAGACTCACAAGGCGGGAGATGCTCTCACACCTCTGCCCTCCTGTTCTCACAGCACCTAAGTGGGCCATTCCCCTTTTGCAGGGACCCGCCAGCACACACAGTGATCTCAGCACACCACCTACCGGGATTAAAACTAGAGCACCTGAGTTCTGCCTCAGCATTTTCCCTAAAATACTAAATCCCACGCGCTGCACAATTGAGAAGCATTTCAAGGTTTACTCAAAAAAGGAAGGAGGAAAGCTTTTGCTAGTAGTAGGCAAATTTTCACTCCTTTTTTTTTTAAGATTTTATTTATTTAATCCTAAGAGACACAGAGAGAGAGAGAGAGAGAGAGAGAGAGAGAGAGGCAGAGACACAGGCAGGGGGAGAAGCAGGCGCCCTGCAGGGAGCCCCACGTGGGGACTCGATCCCGGGTCTCCAGGGTCACGCCCTGGGCTGAAGGCGGCGCTAAACCCTGAGCCACCCGGGCTGCCCTCACTCCAAAGTTTTAAAGGGTCACCGCCGTCCACCTTTCAGATGTAAAACAGCCGAAGGATTTCTTGCAGAAGTGAAGAACACAAAACAAAAGCGACACTGTCAGCGCCCGCGCCCCCGCCGCAGCCTCCCCGCCTTCCCAGTCTCTGATCGTGGGCCGCGAGGAAAGGTTTGCACAGACGCTCCTCGAAGGTCCACTTCTCACAACGGCCTCGGCTGGTGGCTGCCTTAGTGCACCCGCAGGGAAGGGGCTGGCGGGCCTGGGGGCGCCGCTGCGCCGGACGCGCCCCCCACCCCCGCCGCGCCCCACCCCCGCCGCGCCCCCAGACCCAAGGGCGGCCGGGGCGGGGCCGGGGGCTGGGGCGTGGCCTGGGGCGTGGCCTGAGGCGGGCTCGGGGCGTGGGCGGGGCGTGGGCGGGGCCTGGGGCGGGGCCGGGCGGGGCGTGGGCGGGGCCGGGCGGGGCCTGGGGCGGGCGTGGGCGGGGCCGGGCGGGGCCTGGGGCGCCCGGGACCGGTGCTGGTCGCCACTTTCCGGACGCCCCGCGTGGGCGCTGGGCCGGGTCTCGCGCTGGTGCCCCGGCTCCGAGACGCGCTTCCTCTTCCTCGCTCCCAGGCGTCCGAGCCGGAGGGTTCGTGCGGGTCCCCGCAAGTGCGAGGTGCCTGGGGGCACCTGCCCGCGGGGCGCGGGGAGCACGAGGGGGCCTTCGCGCGGGAAGATGAGGAAGCCCGACGGGAAGATCGTGCTTCTGGGGGACATGAACGTGGGCAAGACGTCGCTGCTGCAGAGGTACATGGAGCGGCGTTTCCCGGACACGGTCAGCACGGTGGGCGGCGCTTTCTACCTGAAGCAGTGGCGCTCCTACAACATCTCCATCTGGGACACGGCAGGTGAGGGTGGGCACAGCCCGGGCCCCGTCCCGAGGCCCTGCAGACGAAGCATCTCCAGACTCAGGGTGTCCCGGGCAGGTCCTGCTGCACAGGGTTCCGCCTTCGCGCTGCGGGGCCGACCCTATCTCGGGGGTCGGGCCTCGTGGCTCTGCGAGGCCCCTCGGCCCCTTACCGTCTCTGCTTGGTCTGCTGCCCTTTGCTGGTTGGGAAACCGTTCAGCCACTGCATGGGTCTTAGGGACCATACAGGTGACACTTGAAAAGCACCCCTGGCTCCTAAGAGAGAAGCTCCTGGTGTCTGTGCAGCCTGTGGTGGCTTTGCTCCGGGCCCACGGTCCTGTGCTGAGCCTGCTAATGGGACCCAACCCCCCCCCCGCCCCCCTCCGCCAATGGACGTGATCTCTTTTGCTATCCCCACCAACCTGGAGGGGGAGCCAAGCTCGGATAATTACCCCTTCTTTCCCGAAGAGGAAGTTGGAGTGCAGAGCGTTCCCTGAGGGTGTAGCCTGGAGAGCTGGTAGGGAGCTCTGGCCTCTCTCCTCTCCTTCCTGAGCAGATCTGCATTTCCCACTTCACTCATCACCTGCTTGGGCTCAGCTCCTATCTGTGTTGGGCTTTGAAGTGGTTCTTTGTAGAAACATGTTTAAGATACTAATGAATTATTTTTAGTACATGTAGTATTTGTGAGTTTTCCAAAGGACAAATCAGAGGATCTTGATTCAGGCTTTCCGTTTGTTAACTCCGCAGAAGTACACCGGCAACGGCAGTGCTATCTAGAATTTACTTCCTTCTCCATGAACAGGAATAAGATGCTTGTAGTAAATAAAGACACTGTGCATCGTATGGCACGTTTTCAATGAGCATGACTTTTAGAAGCCTGAAACTTGAAGGTCTGACTTTTGTTTTTTTAGGCCAGCACTTTGAGAAATGACCTATATACCCGAAGGCCCTGTCTGGAAATTTTAAATTCCCAACTTGGGCACACCGGTCTGCTAAGTAAACAAAATTAGAACTAGTCCTGTTCATTTTTATTTTATTTTAAAAAATATTTTATTTATTTATTTGAGAGAGAGTGAAAGAGCCGGAGAGTGAGACAGCTCTTGAGAGCAGGCACAGAGGTAGAGGGAGAAGCAGACTCCCCACTGAGCAGGGAGCCCAACATGGGGGTTGATCACCGGACCCTGAGATCATGACCTGAGCTGAAGGCAGACTCTTCACTGACTGAGCCCCCCAGGGCCCCTAGTTCTCTGTTTATTTTTATTTTAAATGTTTTATTTATTTATTCACGAGAGATACAGAGAGAGAGAAGCAGAGACACAGGCAGAAGGAGAAGCAGGCTCCATGCAGGGAACCTGACACGGGACTGGATCCCAGGTCTCCAGGACCACACCCTGGGTGAAGGGGGCTCTAAACCGCTGAGCCACCTGGGCTGCCCTAGTTCTCTGTTTAAAATGGAGTTAATGAAGTTCACGATGCACATCTATCCTCCCCCTCCATCCTGCTTTCTTTGTGGCTGTCTTATTATGGCCAGGGGTTATTACGTCTGTAATAATGTCTGCAGTCATGCTATGAACACAGCGTCTCCCAGGTACAAATGTACCCATCCCTGCTCTTTTCTTTGGGGAGTGAGGTTCCCAGATCCTTTCCTTAAGCTGAATTTCTAGCACTAAACATTTGGTGGGGAGGGGACACAGGCTCTAGAAGTCAAATCAAATTGAAGTGACTAGGCTGCCTGTTTAGTCCAGGGTGGACTCTTTTGATCCTTTGGTAGACCACCTGGGCTTCACTGCTATCCTTGGCTTACAAGGGGATGATGCAGGATTGGTGTTGGGGTCCCACACGGAGAGACCCTGTAGCGGCTGCCCGCGGAAGCTGACCTTCACCATGGGATGTGGTGTTTCTGGAATAGGAGTTGACCTTTGGTGTCCGGGCAGATGTCTTCGGCATCAAGAGTGTGAGGTAGCAAAGTAATTTTGACTGGCCACTTTCTTCAGTGACAAGGGCATGATGCAGCTGGAATCTTGATCACCAGAGTGTTTTGTAATACGGCAGATGACATGTCCTAGACATCTTGCCGGGCTCCCGAGTGGGCTGGGGGCGGGGGCGGGGGTAGCGACTCATATCCTGTCTGCTGCCTTCTTGTTCCTGGAACCCTTCATGTGAGTTGGGTCAGCCTGCCCGGGCTGCAGGGGAGGCCAGGGCAGTGTCTCCACATTGCTGACCTGTGGACACAAGTGCAGGGTGACTGTGGCTTGGAGTTAGAAGGGACATAGGCCATCACTGTGCCTGGCATCCCGGTAACTGTGGGGTTATGGGCAACTTGGAAGTATGAGTAGATACCCAGACAGCTATGAATAGACACCTTTCCTTCATCTTTGTTGGAAATTCAGAAGTTTAACTTTGGAGGGGATTTTTCTTCCCATTCCACAGACATTGTTTTTTAAGCTGTGTTCATTTTACTCTTTGTAACCAAGGCAGAGGATGAGGACCTGCTGGAGGATTGTTTTTAGTGCTGCCCTTGGTCACAGGAGGTGGGTGGGTGGGAGCGTGGGGGTGTGCAGGGTGCCCAGATGTTCGGTAATGAAGATGAAAGTGGGGCTCTGAGAGCCTCACTCTTGTTTTTTCCAACGAAGGAGTCCTGGCTCTTTGCAGCTGGCGAGGGGAGGAGAGGTTTGCTAGGCTGGTTAATAGGTGTCTTATTCAGTGACCCAAGGGGCCCTCCGAGGGAGGTAAGATCACTTCCACGTTAGGGACAGGGCAGTGGAGGCTGGCAGAAGCGAGGAGGGAGTCAGACTTTGATCTGTGCAGGTGCAGTGTGGTCTGTTCGTCGTGCCTTCTTCACTCCAACCCTTGCCTAGTCGGGCACACAGGTGTGGGGCATTCACCGTGAAGGTTTGGTAGGTCCTGGAAGCAAAAGGCAGTTGCCCAGAGACGAGATGGGGCCCCAGGAGAATCCGCCACCACCCTCCTGTGTCATTGCTTTGGTTGGTCCGAACTGCCTGAAAAGATGTGGCCCATCATTCAGCAGAGTGAACCCAGCCCGTCCTACGTGCCGCCCCGTGGGCTTTTGACTCCAGGGGAGGGGGAGAGGCAGCAAGGAAAGAAGTGGCACCATTTCACACGTGAGCATTGTTTTGAAGAAAACACAGCAAGAGGATGAGGAAGTGACTGGTGTGCCCAAGGAAACTCCATCACTAGAGCCCTGGGAGGCTAGCTGCCCCCTCATTATTCCTCTTCTGTCGAGGCTGCAGCCCCCGGAGGGTGTGGCCCTATGGCTTACTTTCTGCATCCCCTGTACCTGTCCCTCGAAGACGGCTTTGGGACACTAAGTCTCCTTACCTCCAGTCACACATTCCCTGTTTCCTGCTGAGCTCACACTGGCACCCTAAGTCCATTTTTCCACTTAAACCCTTCCCGCCAGCTTAGGCGTCCTCTAAAGACAGTACAGGTGTTCTCTTCTATGCTCCCTATTCCCTCCTGAGCCCTCCCTGGCACGGCTGTTAGAACCCCTGTTTCTAGGGGCGCCTGGATGACTCAGTGGTTGAGCATCTGCCTTCGACGCAGGTCGCAGGTCGTGATCCCAGATCCCTGGAGTCCCATGATTCAAGTCCTGCATCGGTCTCCCCACAGGGAGCCTGCTTCTCCCTCTGCCTATGTCTCTGCCTCTGTCTCTGTCTCTCTGTGTGTCTTATGGATAAATAAATAAGATCTTAAAAAAAGAAAAAAGAATCCGTATTTCTAGTGGTCTGCAAGGCAGTGCAGGCTCTTTCTATTCTGCATCTCAAATTCTTCCAATCTGCTCATCACCCAGTTCCAAAGCCACTTCCAGCTTTGTCACAGCAGCCCCTGCACCCAGGACCAAAATCTGTTCCAGTATTCTGCTGCTGCTCTAACAAATTACCACAAACTTGGTGGCTTAAAAAAAACTTGAAGTCCTAAATGGGTCTTTCCAGGGTAAAATCAAGGTGTCAGCAATCTGCGTTCCTTTATTGAGGCTCCAGGGGAGAATCAGTTTCCTTGCCTTTTCTACCTTCTGGAGCCTGCCCACATCCCGTGGCTTCTTCATCCTCATCTTCAAGCCAGTGGTGTCTCTCCTCATGTCCCTCGGACCCTGACTCTCATATCCACCCCTCCCACATTTAAAGGATTACACTGGTCAGCTGGTTAGTAATTTCAATGTACCTGCAACATTAATTCTCCCTTGCCATATAGCATAACATATTCACAGGCTCCAGGGTTTTGGACTTTGCAGCGGTCGGGGTAGGGAGTGGTATGTGTCATTCTGCCAGCCACAGCTACTGACCACATGCGTGATTTTGTGGCTGTCATGTGTCTCCAGTTTGTTTTCCTCATCTGTAAAATGGGGACAGTTCTAGCACCTGCCTGAAGTGTTGTTGGGAATCAGTAGGTTAATCTTGGCAAACTGCTTGAAGAGTACTTGGAACGAGGAAGCTCTGTGTTAGTGTTTGATGAAGAAACACTCGTCTCCTGGCCCTGGGTGCTTGTGACCCTCATTACCACCAGCAAGTACGTTACAGCTCAAGAGAAGTTTGAGTGGGCACCTAGTAAGTAATTCTGCAATAAATGGCAAGATCAGAGAGAGGGAGATTCAGAACAGTTGGTGGGATGACTGTAGCTTCATACTGTAGTTGGGAATCAGGGAGTGTGATGCCTCTGCTTTGTTATTCTCTGTCCAGGTTTGCTTGGCTAGTGGGGGTCTTTTGTGTGTCCATATAAATTTTAAAGTGTTTTTTCTACTTCTATAAAAAATGCTGTTGGAATCTTAAAAGGGATAGCATTGAATCTGCAGATATAGATCTATAGATAGAGGCTTTGGAAATATTGACATTTGAACAATATTAATTCTTCCAGTCCATGAACACAGAATGTCTTTCCATTTTCTTGTGTCTTTTTCAATTTCTTCCACCAATGTCTTGTGGTTTTCAGCACACAGATCTTTTACCTCCTTAGTAAAAATTATCCCTAAGTATTTTATTGTTTTTGATGCTGTTGTAAATGGGATCGATTTATTTCTTTTTCAGAAATTTTGTTGTTAGTCTGTGGAAATACTACGGATTTTTGTATGTTAATTTTGTATCCTGCAGCTTTTCTGAAATAATTGATTAGATATCATGGTTTTTTTGGTTGAGTCTTTAGGAATTTCTCTAAAATTATGTCACATCCAAACAGACACTATTTTACTGCTTCCTTTCTGATACATTTTATTTCTTTTTCTTGCCTGATTGCACTGGCTGGGGCTTCCTGAACTGTCTTGAATAGGAGAGGTGGTAGCAGGCACCCTTGTCTTGCTCCTGATCTTAGAAGATAAGCTTTCAGCTTTTCACCAGAATGTATGATGTTACCTGTGGGCTTGTCATATATGCATATAAGGCCTTTATTATGTTAAGATATGTTCTTTTGTTTATTTATTTGAGAGGGAGAGAGAGAGAGAGAGAGAGAGTGCACACAAGTAGGGGGCAGAGGCAGAGAGAGAAAGAAAAGGAGATTCCTCGCTGAGCAGGGAGCCTGAGGTGGTGCTTGATCTGGAGACTATGCCCCAAACTGAAAGCAACCTCCTAACCAACTGAGCCACCCAGGTGCCCTGAGATATATTCTTTCTATGCCTAATGTATTAAGGATTTTTATCATGAATGGATGTTGAATTTTGTCAAATGCTTTTGCTACATCTGCAGAGATTGTCATATGATTCCTTTCTTTCATTGTATTAGTGGGATATATCCCATTGATTTGTGAATGTTGAACCATCCTTGCCCAGAAGTGACAATTGGTTTAAGATCTTTCTCTCGAATAACTTTAGTGCATCCAGGAGAAAATGCTGCAGTTCTGGGTTATGAAATCATGGCGCCTGTGAAGTTAGCTGAGAAGTCTTGGCACGCGTGGCAGAGCCGAGGGCCTCAGCCGTGTGAGCGTCTGAAGGATGAGGTGGCACACAACTGAAGATGCCAGATGAGATGGACCATCCTTAAGGACCATGAGCCCCCATCATTCTCCTTCCACTCTGCGTAGAAGCCATGGCCCCAGCTCCACATGTAGGCAACTGCTCCTGGATCCAGGGAATGACAGGGGTATTTGTCCAAAGAGAGGTTAGTTCAGGTTGGAAAAGATGGTGGTGTTGTGGGTGAGCTGGTGAGTAGCTCTCTTTGACAGGGACCACACAGTTACTTATCACTGATACTTTGGACTGGCCTGTGAGGACCATGTAGTTTAAAAAGCCTTGAAAGATTGGTGCACAAGTGGGTGGACAGCCTATGCAAAATGTGGAGCTGAGGGTGGAGGACTCAGATCTTCATTGGCTCTCTCATTATGTTCATGAGGCTGCAGAGCGGTTTTGGAGGTCCTAATAGGGTGGCCCTCAGCCCAACAGTTAGTTTTTGTGTGATGGGAGAGCATCTGGTGGACTACATCCCCTTCCTGTAGATCAGCAGACTGACCTGGGCCCTCCCTGGTTATCAAAATGAGGTTTTATTGACACATGACCATGCTAATGCACTTACAGACTGTCTGTGGCAGCTTTCACACTGCAGTGGTAGAGCTGAGCTGTGGTAGCAGAGACCATATAGCGCAGAAAGAGAAAAACATTTACTATCCAACCCCATTGCAGACAGTTTGCATGACCCTGGTTTGGGTCATGTAGAGGGAGAATGCTTCTCTGAAAGTCCTTTCTGTAATTACAGAAACTCCTCCAGGGAGTCCAGCATCCAGTGATTGCAGGAGCCCATGATCGGTTACAGTCAACAAGTGTGCGGGAGCTCCTGCTGTGTGGGTTCACTCTGGGCAGGACTGGGGTGAGGGTGCGGCTTGGACTTAACATTCATGTGAGCCCCCATTAAAAAAAGACCTTGGAAAAAAATCTCATTTTATACTTAAGATCTGGAAGCTAAACCTGCAGAGCCTGTGTTTTAGGTGAACCCACATCTTTGGAGGTGAGTCCCCGGTCTGAATTGCTACGGCGGACTTTGAGTGGGCGCCCTCTGGGTGCTAGGCCGCGTTTGCAGAATTCCTCCACTTTCGTGATCAGAAAGAGTGGTCTGAATAGGAGTGTGGGTGTCAAGACAGGTGGAAGGAAACCGAAGCTTCTGGGTTTAGCCAGGGCAAACAAAGCACCATTATACTGCGAGACGTCCGAGGACAAAGGATGCCTCTGAACAGTGCATGCACTGGGAGGTCAGCCCAGAGTGCCCCTGGAGGGGGCTGGAGGATTCCGGGGGCGGGAAGAGGTATTTGGGGCTCACCACTGTGGTGCTGATTCAGGGGAATTTAACTAATTAAGGTCAACCATACTTGTTAACTAATGCCTGAATCCCATTCAGTGTCTCTTGTAGAAAATTCCAGGCTTCATAGTTTCGGCTTGGACTCGCCCCCTCTTGCTTTGTTGAGAGTTCACATAATTTCCTTTTCTGTAAGAAATGTTTTAGACACAGTTGTATGCACATGTACATACGCACACATTGAAATGACTGTTCTTAGAGGAATGGCTTCATCACTGTGATGACAGATTTTCCTGGTCCTGCTGTCCTGTGCCCGCTGGCCCAGAAGGTTCCAGCACTCATTTCAAAGGTGAAGAGAAGGCAGGCCAGCTGGGGATTTCCGCCACAGAGTGAGACAGTGGTGAGCCCCCCGGCTTTCTTTTTGCTTCATTTATCCCAGAGTTGGGGCTGAAGAAGCCAGTAATCCAGAAATGCCAAAGGGTACAGACAAAACGAAACAAAATGAAAAGTCTTCTTTCACCAAAGGATCAGGAAGTAGGTAGCCTAGTAAGACAAACCGTTTAGGTATGTATGTATGTATGTATGCATGCACGTGTGTATTTATTTACTTATTTTTATTATTTTTTAATGGATTTATTTATTTTGTTTTTAGAGAGAGAGAGAGAGAGAGAGAGCATTGTGTGGAAGGAGGGGGAAGGGCAGAGGGAAAGAATCTCAAGCAGACTCTCCTCGGAGCCGGGCTCGATTCCACGATTCTAAGATCATGACCTGAGCAGAAGTCAAGAATTGGATCCTCAGGGATCCCTGGGTGGCGCAGCAGTTTAACGCCTGCCTTTGGCCCAGGGCGCGATCCTGGAGACCCGGGATCGAATCCCACGTCAGGCTCCCGGTGCATGGAGCCTGCTTCTCCCTCTGCCTGTGTCTCTGCCTCTCTCTCTCTCTCTCTCTCTCTCTCTGTGTGTGTGTGTGTGTGTGTGACTATCATAAATAAATAAAAAATTAAAAAAATAAATAAAGTCTTAAAAAAAAAAGAGTTGGATGCTCAACCGTCTGAGCCACCCAGGTGCCCTGGTAAACCTTTTAGACAACAACTTCTGTACTCCAGCCAAACACTGAGAAAAAACTGGGGCACCCCCATCCCACCATCAAGGTCTTGGAGGAGCTGGGGCTCTCATCCCTCCTGGTGTCTGTGGAGGCTGCATGGGGCATCTGGACTTCTGCCTTCACCTGTCACGAAAGAGAAGGGACCTGCCACAGTCCCCCAGCCCCTGCTTGGATAAAGGAGCCAGCTCAAAAGGAAGATGTAAGTTAAGATCCAGTGTGTCATAGCACAGGATGCAAAAGTCCAGGGTTCAATGAAAAAAAAAAAAAAAAACAACACTCATCATACTTCCAACTGAGTCAAAAAAGACAATCTTGAGACGCCAACCCTAGCTGACGGAGGTGGTAGCATTACCTAACAAGGACTTTGAAGCAGCCATCCTAAGCAAGTGAACCATCGCCAATGCTTAAACTAATGAAAAAAAAAATAGCCTCAGCCAAAACAGATTTAAAGAAGACCCAGATGGAAGTTTCTGGATGAAAAAGTACAATAACAAAAAAAAAGGCTCAGTGGATGGACTCACCAGTCAGGTGGAGGAATGGTGCTTGGGAAGACAGAGCAGGGAACAGTGGGATGGTGGTCAGAAAGAAGTGGCATCTTCAAGTACTGAAAGCAAAGGTGAAGAACACTGGTACCTAATTCTCGCCTATCATCAGTCTCAACATGTGGCTCCAGAGAAACATGCTCCTGTTGCATGTGTCTCAGTGTGGACTCAGGACTTTTCACTCCCATTCTTTAAATTACACATAGTGGAATGCTGTTTCATACTGAATACACTATTTAGATAGACTGGGGAGGATTTTTTCTACATGAATTTTAAAAAGTTTGGTTTCAAGGATGCCTGGGTGGCTCAGTGGTTAAGCGTCTGCTTTTGGCTCAGGTCATGATCCTGGGGTCCTGGGATTGAGTCCCACCTTGGGCTCCCCACAGGGAGCCTGCTTCTCCCTCTGCCTATGTCTCTGCCTCTTTGTCTCTCATGAATAAATAAAATCTTAAGAAAAAAGAAGGCAGTGTTTGTTTTGGCCTTTATTTATTGAATCGTGTTTGTGATACTTCCATTTTCATGTACAGACTTGGAGACTTTATTACGTGGGTGGTTAATCCTTAGCCACTGTCATGAGGGAAATAGTCTGCTTCTTGGTTTTCTCGGCGGACTTGATGCAAGTGTGTGTGGGTAATTCTTTGATGCAAGTTCACGTATTTCTGTGCCGGTATAAATGCATGTGTGGCTGGAACAAGGCATGGTGTTTGCAGACTGGGACTAGAAGAGGTCTGAGTATTGGAATACTTTAGTCTTCATTTTTCTTATTGGCCATAAAATGGAAATTTTGTAGTTTGCTCTGTCTCAGCAGAGCTTTTCTTAGAAAGAAGTTCACTTGTGGAGCTTGGTGGGAGCTGCTGTGGCCACAAATTCCTTGGTTTCCCAGTGATAAATTATTTCCAGCCAGCATTCAAGATGCAGCCCTTCCTCGAGCTCTGGCTTTGTGCTCCGCGTGAGCTGACCGGAACGCACGCACCTGCTCCGGTATTTGCACTAAAGTCCGAGCCAAGCTGAGCTCGTATCTCCTACGGAGCCTTTTGCAAGCGCTTGTTGATCTGTCCTGTGGGCCCGAAGGGGGTTGGGGTACATGGATGGCTCCCGCCCTCACGCTGGCCTGGCCTCTCTTGGTGTGCTGGGCTCGGGCTTCCAAAGCAGCTCAGCTAGCACCCCCCGCCCCCTCCTTTTTAATGTGGATCAGATGGCCTTGGACCCGTGGGCACAGAGGAGTTTGGCTTTGACCTCCGTGGGTTGGCTGACCCCCGCGGAAGCCGTGATTCCACTTTGGAGCTGCTGCAGACCGTCTTCTGCCCCGGCCCGGCGGGCGTCATTCACTGTCCGTCCGTGTGACGGGCCCAGGTTGAAATGGCAGGGGCTGGGATGATTCTGGACGACCACCTTCTCCGCCTCTTCCTCTTTCAGATGAAGGGACAGACTCTGGAAGTAACTGTCGCTTGTCCCTCGGCCAGTGGGTGGTGGAGCAGAGGCCCACTGTCCCCTTGGTGCAATCTCAGAGGCGCCCTGCGCCACAGCTGCCTCCTGTGCTGGGAGGTCAGGGAGCTGCTCCTGGAAAGCCGCCCCGCGGGGTTCCTGAGGCCGCCCGGTTGCTAAGGCACGACTGTGAGCAGAAGGCCCCCCCCGGGCTCCCGCTGTGGCCCGTCCAGGATGTCTGCGGCCTCCCTTCTGCGGGGCGCCAGGCGGCAGCTGGCTCAGGCCACCCCGGGTGCTGGGCGGGATCGGAGGCCGGCTTCCGTCAGACGGACAGGTCTCCTCGCCATCCCGGCCCGCAGCTGGTGCCCGCGGGTCCGTGCACGGCAGGGACGACCGAGCGGAGGCCGAGCAGAGGCCGAGTGAGCGGAGGCCGAGGGGAGGCCGAGGGGAGGCCGAGCGAGCGGAGGCCGAGTGAGCGGAGTCCGAGGGGAGGCCGAGCGGAGGCCGAGTGAGCGGAGGCCGAGGGGAGGCCGAGCGAGCGGAGGCCGAGTGAGCGGAGGCCGAGGGGAGGCCGAGCAGAGGCTGAGTGGAGGTGGAGGCCGAGCGGAGGCATCTGCCACTGCTCGCCAGCCCTGGCCGCGTGACCCTGGGCAGGCACAGGGCTGCCTCACGGTAAGGCCTGGCCGGTGCCTGAGACGGGAGGCTTCTAGGACGGTGGCTGAGTGGCATTTGGGCCCACGCGTGTGGTTTCCAGGGCCCGTGCTGGGGAGTGCGGGCTCTGCATTGGCGCCTTCCTCTTTGGCC